ACAAACAATGGAAACAATGCTTGAAATGAATGCCGATTGCAGTGACGAGAGAGACACTGATCAGGCAATCAGGTCCGCCTCAGCCCCCACTACTCCCACCTCCCAGTCCAGGCACATGACTGGGTGTCTCATCAGACCAGCGGCCCACACGAGGGGCCATCATAGGGTACAGTTCCCCGAAGACAACCAGATGGTGACCGGCTATTTCGATGCACCCAATCCCTATCAATACGGTATGAATTATATATATTACCAATGTACTTTTGTATATATTGTACCTGTTTTGTGAACACATAATTAGGTATCCCTTAACTATTTGAATATACTGTACATGCATTCAAATAATATATAATTTGTTGATTCAAACGAATTAGTGCTTTGATTATAGCATTTGAAAATTAAATACATTTCTTATGAATTAAATATGATTTAAATATAATATTCTGATCGATATTCCTATGCATAGAGTATTAGCCACTAATGTACTCTATATTCAATATATTCTGCAAAACAGAGTCCAATGAATTTATGAAATAATGTTTTATTGATTTTCATATTTTGTTTGTGATGACAGTTTCGTAATGTTTAATTAATTTGTTACGTATTGTAATTAATTTCATTTATTTAAGCATTCATTTCATTCAATAAAAAATTTACACGTTTTAATTAAGGGTGAATTTACTATTTATTAGAATATATTATTATAATTTGCAAATAAATATTAGAAATATAGCACTCGTACAGAGATATTAGTCTAATATATGCTAACCTCTTATCTAAACAACGAGAGAATAATGCAATTAATTAATTTGATAACTCGTTAAACCACTTTATTCATTGTGACAATGCACACCTTTCCCTACCCTATCCTACCCTACCAGTGCACTCCTATCGCGTATTATTGATATTTTGTATGAAGTACTTTACACAACTATTAGTTAAAATGCAATTTCCTTTTAATATTTATCTTCTTATTTAATCTTATATTTATTTTATAGTTATTTAAATACATTAATTATTATATAATTGATAATGATTGTGTCGGAATTGTCAGCAAAATCACATAATCATTATAATAGGTCTATAAATTCACACAATTTATTGATTAGAGTGAATAACATTTCACGAATTGATATCTATTTTGCATTTAATGAATGATAACTAGGTCTATTGTATTAACGATGTATGACAAACAATTAATTGTCTAATAATAAAGTTTTGACATAAATTTTTTCAATTGTCCATATATTCAAATATGTATAACATAGACATCACACATGAAACAGTTAACATATTTAGTTTCTAAAAATAAATAAATATTGTACAGTATAATTACTACTGACTTATACAGTAGTCATCCGTGTAGTTTATATGGATATACACAATGAGTCAATAAAAGTAATCGCATAATAATCATACTTAATAATTATTTAGTCATTTATATGTCAAATTAGAGCATTATTATTATTATTATTATTTAAACGATTCTATTGTTTTTACTTTAAACCCTAAATATTATTGAAAACATTGATTATTGCTTTGCATACCAATCATTTATATCTTATATCAAATATTTATTTACTATAACTATTAATGAGTGCAAAAGCAGCAAAAGAAATGATTTGTCGATTAATTGAATCCAAAAGCGAAATATTTGTATAAAGACGGTCGTTATGTTCCGTCTATTGAATGCTATGTTTTTTGATATATTAACTCAAAATGTTATAACTTATAAGACTTGGGAGATATAATTTTATTAGATTTGTTGTGTAGTATTGGATTTGACTGACAAACAAATATTTTCTCAAATGAACCATAAAATGATTGATAGAGAATTGAATTATTAATTGCATTTATTTGTCTTTTGTATTTAATATCCTTCTCCCAAATTATATCCAATACTGTTCATTCATAACTGTTTTTAATAAATGTTTTTAATTGAAATATTACAAAATTTAATTTCTATAACATTATTTTAATACTAATTTTTAAATTTATTATTATTATTATCTTTTGAATTGTTTAAATATATTTATAAAGAGATATTTGTGATGAAATTCACAATTTTTATTCTGTTTCTAAATTATTTATTAGGGAAAACTTGTGCTTGGTAAAAGTTAATTACAATTAAAAAGAGACTCTGGGCACTCTATTATATCTATTAAATATTAAATTATATTCACTCATTATAAGTTACTTCTATAAAAACAATGTCTATTCAATTCTGAATTGAATTGTTATAATAATAATTACAATTAAAAAGAGACTCTGGGCACTCTATTATATCTATTAAATATTAAATTATATTCACTCATTATAAGTTACTTCTATAAAAACAATGTCTATTCAATTCTGAATTGAATTGTTATAATAATGTATTTGAACAATGAATCAGAATATAATGTTTTTATTGAAATACAGTCTCTGTATTGACTTTTGCTTAAATAGATTCTGATATTTAGTGACTCTTTATTTAATTTTAGTCTTTTTATTCAATTCTTACTCTGAATATAATGAAATGCATTTTCATTTGTCGTTGTAATTAGTTTTTTGTTGTTTTCATTAGAACTAAAAGTTATATTAATATTAAAACAGGTAGAATNCTCTTTATTTAATTTTAGTCTTTTTATTCAATTCTTACTCTGAATATAATGAAATGCATTTTCATTTGTCGTTGTAATTAGTTTTTTGTTGTTTTCATTAGAACTAAAAGTTATATTAATATTAAAACAGGTAGAATATAAAGAATTTTAAATGTGTCACAATATTAGAGCACAAATGAAAGTGAAATTCTCGTTAAGTATACCAAATAGTGTTTTTTAAAGTCAAATGTCGTCACATATTTAAATCTATACTCAACATTCTGTCCTATGATTTCGCAAACGATTAAGTTTTTTGTATTTTTTATCCAATTTTAGCTTTTATTCGTCGGTATATGAAATTAAATACAATATTCTTTAGTCCTGTAATTGAATTGCATTCAGAAAACCATAGATTCTTTACCATAATTGAAAATCTTTTACTTTATTTTATTGTTTTCGTTTAGTATTTAGTATTCTATCTATGTATAATTTCAATAAACTTGTAACTATTTTATTTTTTATGAAAAATAATACATTATCATTTATATAATAGTAAAATTATTTTTAATGTATAGCCGAAAAAGCTCATTTGAGTGCACGTAAACTGTATTGATGTCAATAATCTACATACTGTAGAATATTGTTAAATGACTTTTTGTACTCATATAAACTGCATATACTGCACAATATTTATATACAATATTCATTATTATTACCGGTATATAAATGCTATTATAATACATATATAATAAATAGTGTTGGGAAAGTACAGAACTTAACAAAAATAAATTCTCAGCATAAAGACAATTATTTATAAATAAAAACTTAATTATTTATTGTAAGTGTATTCTTAGATAGCATTTATAATGTTTGATCATATCTTAATGTTTTATATTTTGTAATAATTCTGATTTCAAACAATTAATTTATATTAAATATTATTATAAGATAAAGTGTAAAATAAATATTTACATTTAGTTTTAAATCAATATTTACAATAAAGCTATTATTATGATAAATTATCACTAATACTAATAATACTTTACACTTTATTTAACATAAAGTGTATTATGATAATATTGTATAATATATAAATAGTTATAATATTCAGTATTATAAACTATCAATATTAGATGCATATTCTTTAAAATATTCTACAATTGAATACCTATAGAAAATTATAGAAACGTATCATATATGTAGAAAGTTTTGATACATTTTAAATATATCGGTGGAGTACGGTAGTCAGAGAAATGTTGAAGGTTATCTTTTATATTATCTAAATTCATATAGACTTAAATATGATATGAAATAACTCTTTAGACTTAGCGATGATTTAATGATATTTATTAGATCTTAATACTCGAGTACTTTCGGTCCTAATCGGAGCCTTCGTCAGGAGTTTATTATAAAATATGAGATTAAATGATTTAAAAACTTTCAAAACTAAAATACAAGACTATCATTTGCAATCTCTGCATCTCTTTTACTACTCACTCCTCATATGACTATATTATAGACTTGTTAATTAGGGTAAGAAGTTCTTGTTAAGAATTATATGCAATCATTTAAATATGAATCAAATACACAATTATTTTTACAATATATTTAAAATATTTTGTGCTTAATTTTTATATTATTTAATTGGGTTTAATGATTGTTTATCTACATTATCTGTATATCTATTTTGTAGTGACTGAGACCCAAACTCTTGAAAGTCTGATTGATTCCTATCAAACCGCTTGTGACAAACAAAATATTAAACCCATTCCTCGAGTTCTGCAACAATTAAAGGTAAGCAATATATACTAAATTTATTGCACATTGTTTGGAAATATTTTCAATCAGACTAATAGCATCATTGATTTGTTTAATTCTATAATTGTCATTTAATGAATGTTTAATTATTTAAATAAAAATTTAACCAAGTTCCTAAAGTGTAAACTTTAGGGATTTTATTTTATTAAAAGAAAATGATATACAATAGATTATTTAATTTGATACTAACTATATAGTTATTGTTTATATTATTAATGTATTACTTGATTACAATGTATAATGACATTAAATTTAAGTATACAATGTGTTGAATAAAATTTTGCAAAAAACAGGCTTTTAACGAATAAAATATTTATTGTCTTGTATTTGTGTTGTTGTTTGTGTGTATTTAATTAAACAAATTTATGTCCTATTATGTATGTAATTAAATAATGATTTTGTTTGTGATAGAAATTTAGATGCAATAAAATGCGGGGTCAGGATCTCATTCTCAGAGGTAATGTCATATATTCTTACAATATTTGCATTCAAGAAATCATCATATTAATCACTAAAAATATACTTGCATGTTAATTTCATAAAACAAATGCAATAATAAAAGTATGTCAACGCATTCAATACCTTGAAATGTTATTTCTGTATAATGTGGTCTTATATTAAATAAGATGTGCTAAAAATAGCCGTAAATGTATATCTCATGTTTGAATACAATTCGATATATTTTTCATAAAAAATATTTGAATAATTTATTTATACCAAGAAATAGTAAATCTTTTATATGAGTTAAATAGTGAATAATACATTGCTCAATGTTTTGAAAAACTAAATCCAGAAAAATGTAAACTAAATGAATTTGTATTGAAAACATAAATAAACTGATAAATCCCTGTCATGGTATTGATCACTAAAAATTCACATAAAAGAATCTTTCTTACGAATTCGTTAGTATATTCTTGTATAGTATACAGTATAATAAATGATCCATATACTTTATTCATAATAAAACATCTCAAAATATATTCAAATAATTTATCGAGTTTTGCACTCGAAAGTATACAGTAGTTTAATAATGGAAATAAATTTTATATATACATTTACGTTAGATTACCAGGGTATAAAAGAATATATGGTTGCATGGTTGACATCTGATATTTTGCTACAGAATATTAGTATAATTGTTATAATTGTATAAAATATGTATAATTCAGGCGAACGACTCGATTCAAGACATTGTGAAGCATTGGAAGAGATATTAAAACGAGTTTTATTCCGAACTATTGATTTGGATTCTTGTGATTTAGACTGTGAGGTAAGGCTCATGCAATGTCACCTCATTTGTTAGTCTTAATCAATGAATAATTGGTTTACATTGCTCATTTGTCGCGAAGGGAGCGTCAGCACTATTTGATATGATTGAGTTTTATGAGTCGGCATCTCATTTATGTCTGGCTAATAATAAATCGATAGGAGTTATTGGGTGGCAATCGTTATGTCGGACTCTTAAGAAAGTAAGCCATAACTAGTAGTACATGAATGCAATATTATATATATAACTTTAATTATATTAATGCTTTAATGTCAGACCTCTTGTCTACAATACCTCAATCTTCGCAATACTGGACTCAATGAACAGATATTGTTAATCATGGGTCGGGCCATGCGATTGGGCTCACACTTAGTGACAATCCATTTAGAAAATGCAGGATTATATGGAAGAAGACTCGCCATATTAGGTATGCATTTCACTGTATATTATTATACTGTATGGAACTGTACTGGACAATTTTAAAAATGAATTACACTGTACTGGACAATTTTAAAAATGAATTACACTGTACTGGACAATTTTAAAAATGAATTACACTGTACTGGACAATTTTAAAAATGAATTTTATTTTCTTGACAACAGTGGCCGCACTTAAGCTCAATACAAATCTTCGAGAACTATATTTAGGAGACAATAAGATATGTTCCGCAGATGGCGTCCAAATAGGGAATCTTCTTCGTGCCAACGCTTGTCTCGATATTCTTGACCTGAGGAGGAATCACATCCAAGACATAGGTCTCGACCATATATGTGAGGGTCTATCACACCAGCCCTACGGTGGTCTCAAAATTCTAAATCTAAGCGATAATCAAATCACAAGTCGAGCGATGAATCATTTGTCGCAAGCATTGGTAACACAAACCAAACATTTGTTTTAATAAAACTTGAATTTTGTAGTAATATTGAGATCTCTTGTATGTCGTGTTGCAGACTATGTGTCGATCACTCATTGGACTCGACTTATCATACAATGGGTTGTCTAATGACGGCGTCTGTATCCTAAAGGAAGGGCTCCTGTCGTGCAAAGAACTTAAATACTTGAATCTTAGGGCCACTAATATAACGTGCGAGGGTAGGTTTCCCACTGAATTTTGTTGCCTGGTCACATTTGATAATTTCATATGAAATGTTTAGGAGCAATTGCCATTGCTGAAGTGATTGCAGACAACCAGAAGCTAATTATTATCGACTTATTGGATAATTATACGAAACTCTCAGGTCTTATGGCTATCTGTCTATCGATGAAACACAACACAAGTGTTATTGAATTGAGATTATCTCAAGATTTTGAATTTACTGAAGAGAACTGCGATGGAGAAAAAGTACAACATTTCAAAGATTTGTGTCAAGAGCTGAAAAGCTACTGTGATTTAAACAAATCTAATGCCGTTCACGAAGAGTCCAATGAATTATTACAATCGGTATAAACACTATTGATTTGGTTTGAAAAATAATTGTTTCAATCGTTACATTCATTTATATTTCAATTGAATAGTATATTGAATCTCTCAACGATTGTCACTCTTCTGACGATCCGTTTGACGATATATTCACATCTCAGGCCATGTTTTGTGATTTAAACGACGAGACAAATGCTGACAATACCTCAGAGTCTCAGAGAAATGATATGAAACCCGACCTCATATCGCATGCAATGAATGGGTCGAGTCCACAGACATCCTGTAAACCGGATATTATCTCAATTCAGGAGAGTTTAACCCATGGTTACCATAAACCTATCGCAAGAACTGTGAGCTTAGGCTCATGGGGTTCCACCTGTGATACACACAAACAATCGGGTCGTTTCAGTGTATCGCCCGTCAACTTAGACAATGAAGTGGACGTCAGTTCTCACACCGATTCCAGTCAAGACGAGACTCCCCTATTGGACACCAATTTGGATGAAATGCAAACTCAAAGAACTGATGAACCAAATGATGACAACATTCAGTCTAACGAATCGAGTAATGAAACGAATGATAAACTAATGGATTTGCCGAAAGCCATAACCAAAACATTTTTAACGCCAGAATCGCCGTATAATAAGAATATACGGCGAATGAGTTCTCCTAATCTGTCCCAAACTATCAAAGCCAAAGTCCGACCGTCACTTCAATTCAAGCCATACACTCATTTGGAAAGTCTCGACCTTAAGAGCTCTCTTCCCATTTCGCCCACATTTTTTGGTCGTTTCGGTACCACGAATCTACCATCCATTTCCCTACACTACCTCTAATCATATCTCTTTATACAGAATTCCCAGATCCTTTATTGTTGAAACTGCCGCCAGAGGTCGACGATATCATATCCAAGTTTGGCGATTGCGACTCCAATCCGATGCAAGTCATCTAATGTTCAAATCACTCGCACATACCTTTCCTATTGAAATATACCTCCAGTCCTATTGAATCAAATTAATTGACAACTTATTTCTTAACTAATATTTTCATTATTAGTAAATATTGTAATTATTTAGCAATTATTTTTAATCACAAGTTATTTACTGATGAGTTCGCACAACCAATCAAACAACCTGTCCACCACCCCCACCCCCACCCCCTTCACAGCCCCTCTCAGTCTAAATCTCTGTTTAATTGTGAACAAAGAGCTAAAA